GTGGCGTTGTACATTATATTGAGACGGAGGGAGGCGCCAGAACTGCAGCTGATAGAATGTGCGCTGTAGCAGATACAACGATATTTCTTCAAAAGCAGATCGTGGAGACATTCAAAAATCGTCATATCGCACACCCCTAACTACCAAGTATAATCAATCTCACACACACAAACAAGCACAACGAAATCACTTCACACTATTAAGCGGCTGTGTTATGAACATGCAAAACTGTATCGCATGCGTGCTACAGTGGTAAATTTATTCATCTCACAGACCAGTTTTTTCGTAGCACGTGCGACATATATGTCGCACTGTACAGCCCTGATTTATCTATGGATTTTATCATTGTCATGCTGCCCCAGAGAATGATGGGAAATTGTTGCACAAATCAAATACACCAGCTAATTAAACAATATTAAATTTATTTAATATAAAAAAAAAAATAAAATAAAATATATATATATATGAAGTTTTTATATGCACAATTTATATATATTTTTTATTATTTATTTACCTAATACACCAGCTAATGACAATATATATATATATATATATACAATAATTATCTGTCAAGTTTGATCACTATTCTGTAATCATTATATATAATCATATATATATTTAAAATAAAATCTATAATTATGTATGTGGTGTGTGTGTGTATATGTATATATATATCATATCATATTATTTATTATATTATATAATACAATTTTATATAGTTTTATTATTCATCTGGCATAAAATCTATGTGGATGGAAGCTCAGCTAATGAAAAGATAATTATGCTCAATATCAATTTGCTTCTGCCATGATTCTTCAATTGACATGTCGCCAACTCTGAAAGTCTGGCCTCAAAGAAAAGGCAGAGTTTCCCACAGGTACGACATTGCAGTCGCGTTCCTCTCGTAAATACGATCATTCCAACATGACTCGAAGTCAGTGGTCCCATATGGAGGGGTGAAAAGTCTGGGGGTGTGAGGCCAGCTGGTCATTCATTCACACTTTCCTGCT